CTTTATAATTCCAGATAATAACCTGTGCAAAATTTTTTTATAGTCAATGGGCCTAAAAGAAGGTGACTACATTGTCTCAGTTGGTGGTGTGGACTGCAAGTGGCTTGGAGTGAATGAGGTGCTGGAAAAATTCAAAAGCATGGGAGAGCGGCCCATTGAGATTGAGGTTATCAGTTGCCAGGATACATCAGCGTCTATGGTATGTAATGAGGCAAATACGTTTTGGATATGTGAGAGTTTTTTCGGCTTCCTGGCTTCAGTCCGATTAATGTTTACTTTCATGGAGTGAGATATCCCACTCCACTTGTGAATATATAAAGCATTCAGGCATGTGTTCAGTTTTAAACAGTCTGTTTAAATCATCGTGACTTAGCAAGCTGAAGTACAGCCTGTGTGCATAAGAACAGTTGGGTGGTGGGGTTTTTTGTGGTGGAGCTACTTAGATTAATTGCATTATAAATTCCAGGGCATATTTTATTTTCCCCTACCTTGTCCCAGAGGATGAAAATATTAACTCTGTTATGCATTGGAAAAGCCACAATGAAACAATAATGGAATGAAATAGAACATCCAAGACCACATGCTTATTTTCTCTGTACTGTTAACATAAACAATCGATGACTTTTGTATTAGATCGTGGATTAATGTATGTATTATTTATTTTGGTGGACTTTTAACTGTCTAGTCAGTTACTAAGCTGCTGTAGAAGCTTTAGACTAAGGAAAAGTGATCACAAGAATAAAAAATGTTAAGCTCTAAATAACTTAAACTTATTTGTAGTGTGAGAGAACCTGTAGTTCAGCTAAATCCACTGCTTCATGCTTCTAACATTCCCTGGCACGCTTAGGCACTGCAGTATTGTTGCCTTAGAAGTGATAAAGGTGCTCTTACTGCTGTTGGGTTTTCTTGTTTTAAGAAGCTGATTTTTTCCTTATTGAAAATAAGGAATTACACACCTGCCATTCCAAGCTGCTACTGGAAACAAAAGGCCAGAATACAATCAAATTGCTTCAGGGCACAGCTAAGATAAGACAGAGAAAGCTGTGTCTTCGAGGTATCCCGAAAGAATGTGCTACAGTAGCTCTTGTCATAGTTGCAATTAACATGGAACCTGTCCAAAGACAGCAGAAAGATTCCCCTTCAGAGATCAGTGCAAGAACTACGCACTTAAGCTTTGTAGAGGAGTTAGTGTGTATGTTGTATAGTTATGCTAGAAGCTAAACATCCCTAAATGCTAATGATAACCAACCCATGGAAAAGATTCACAAGTCCCTTTACGCTTTGTATAGTATATCCTTGAGTCTACGTGGGCTAAATACCAGAATCACAGGGCTCTGAAGGGCTTTGTGTTCAGTTAGCACCACAAGCTTGCAGTCATCTGCCTTGGAAAACTATTTGCACAGTAACCTTTTGTTATCTTCAAAATTTTGACCCATTTCGGGTGACTGATTCTTACAATGCTTCTCTTTTTCCTACAGCATAGTAAGAGTGCAACTTATTCTGTGGGAATGCAGAAGACATACTCCTTAATCTGTTTAGCCATGGAAGAGGATAAGCTTGATCAGACCAAGAAACCCCCACTGAAACTGCCTTTTCTAAGTTGGGGAACTAAAAATAGACAGAAGGCTGCAAGCACCCTCTGCCTTCCTTCAGCTGTGGCTGGAAGTTCTCAGCCTAAGAAGAAGCTTTCTCCCTTCACACTTTTGAATTCGGAAAGTTCATTGTACTGAATCTTTCAGAAGGATCTGTTAATATGACAACTTTCTTTTAAATGTATATAAAAAAATCCATCAATTTTATCTTTATATATATATATGTGTGTGTGTGTGTATAAATTTAGACAAATGCCATTGACTTCATTTACTGGGTATTGAGCCACTATGAAGGTCAGAGGCTGGCAAAAACTGTAAAACTTAAGTATTTGAAGGTTAGAATGAAGTAGTTTGGGAGGAATGCAATAACAAGTTGTAGATAAAATTGCTTACGTAAGGACTAGATTCCTTTGGAATTTCAAAATACAGTATCATGACTAATTTTCTTTATAACTATGATAGATGGGATGTATTTTTTACAAACTTGATGCTGTGGGCAAAACAACAGGGGACACATTAAAGGATGATTTTGCTGTAGAAGTTCAGAGTTGATAACACTAAAGACTTATCTTAACAAACCACAGGTGCCAGAGTAACGCTATTCAGAGAAACTAGCCTTGTGCCAAGGGGCAGTGTCACGTAGTTGTGGTTTTTACACATAGACATTCTCTTTCTGAGAGTACTAGGTGTATTCTACTGAATAGTTAATTTAATTCTGGAAGAGAATTAGAAGGCTTAAAAGTCAAAAGATCTTTTGAACTACAAAAGGCTTTTACTCTGCTCTTTTTCTGATCTAGGTTACCTAGGTTACATCTGCTGATTCAATTGTTAAAAACAGGCTTTATTCCAAACTTGAAATTACTTAACCTACTTACCATAAAACTTATCTCATGGGTCTTGATAAAATTGATAGCTGTGTCAAAACTGACATTCCAATATATTGGTCAAGAGTACATAAATTGTGATGATGCTTTAAAAATATAAGAAAAGAAGTGCTTGTGAGTCTTAAGTGGCACAATATTTATTTACTATCACACAAAGTAAAAAAAACCCAAATACATATAAAGTCCTCCTCCTCTTCTTGGAACAATTAATAAGCAAGTACTGGCTATATATATTAAAAAAAAAAACAACCAAAAAAAAACCAAAAAAAAACCCCAAAAAACCACAAAACAACAACAAACTGTGTGAGCATTTGAGATTCTTCTATCTTCTGAAATGGAAATTAATTGAAAATTGCTAACACTGTAGTGTTAGTTAACTTGCCATCTACAGAGTAGATAATGCTGTTTGATACTCAAAACAGGAAGTTTGCATCTGGATGTAAACTTTAAAGTTGTCATTTACTTTTAGTTTCTTATGTAACAGGTGTAAATATGTTGATGACACTTATTTAAGAATAAAAGTCAGATGCTGATATTTAATAGTAGCTTTTTGATTCTGCTTGGATGATACAGAATAATTTACAGGTTTTCACTGTTTACTGCTGGCATACCTCTTGCATGTTTCTGTAATGTTGCTCACAAAGATACAAAAACCTGTTTTTCTTAAAAGTTTATATTGTGTAATACAGTAACTTAAAGTCTAAAACTTGCTTCTTTACAAAGCAGCAGCAGTTGTACTGATACACAAGACCCTGCCATACAGTACTCCATCCCGAAGAGGTTTACTTTGCATATATGGTTAAAGTTACTATTCAACTAATGAAGTCTTTAGCAAATCACATCAATCACCCTTCCAGATCTTCATTTCTCTCAGCCCACTATGATAGTCTTCCTGCAACTATCTTCCCCCTTAGCTGTATGATTAACTGCCTTTCCATTCCCATCGTTGGAACCCACTAGTCCTTGAGGAAAGGTTGGGGTGTTTGGTGGTTTTTTTTTTATTTAACCATCCCCCCACCCCTCCAGTTCAAGTCAAAATTTGAGCTTGTTGAGTGCCATACAAATCTATACTTACTATTTTCTGTCAGCTAACTAAAGACGCATTGTGCATTGAGTGGTAGCCAACAGCTGACTTAAGGCAAATACTAATTTCACAGCAAGTGACGTTCTTGCTCAGACCACAGGAATATTTGTAAGTTTCTATCTACAAAGATGTACAGGGATATTATAAAGCCCTAAAAATAAACTATAACTCGATTAGTACTAATTGTTACTATTTTAATTGAATTTTATTTAATGCACTGAACAGATGGCCATTTGAAGTAGTGAAAAAGGTGTTTGCCTTGCAACATCAATAGCCACATACCTTTGGATGTAAAATCCAGTCTCTATAGCAAAGTGACAAAGACTGATAAAGAAGCTTAAGTATTCCCTAGTTGTAAGAAAGTAATATCTTGTTCTGTAGTTCTGGAAATTCTGATGTTTATTATTCACTGAATTAAATACTTACGGCCAAATTATATTTTCATCCCATCACAAATAACAGGTCTATCTGCTGTCTGTGCTAACTGGGAGGTGAGATGATTGGTTACAGAGGGGCTAAAGTTCAATTATTCACTTCTCTCTTAGTTTATGAAAGGGGGTTGAAAATCCTGCTCAGCTGCCTTCCTGCTGTGATCCAAAACCCAAGTAGTGTGAAAGAAGCTTTTCACACACCTCCTTAGTGGATGCATAAGGCAAAAGGCAATTTTACCCTTACTAAATAGGATAAGAATATAATTTAAAATAAATGCAAGATGTCAACTCTTGAAAAGATTAATGCTGGAAGAACAGGTTGAAGTAATGAATTTTGATCAAGGCTTCCCATATTACTTTCTTTGCAGCATATTATAATTGATAGTATAATTAATGCATTATAATTGAGAATTTGTCAAAATGTTGTAACTGATAATTATCCCAACCTCTGTTCAAAAGTGTGACGTAAATTAACCTAGGTTTTAGATAGTAGACACAAAGGAATAAATTTGCTAACACCCTGTGAACTGAAAAAGGAACAAGTGAACTAAGTTGAAGTCAAAGATGTATTCCAGTAGGACTTTCCAAAGGAACTCCAAAAAGTTACAGATGAAAGATAGTACTATAAAGCAATGTAAGCTTTTTAAAGCACTGTAAGTTACACTTCCAGTGTTTATTTCTGGAAGACAAAAGTAAGCAAGCAAATTGCTTTGCCATTTTTTTCTGTGGATGCTGAAAGGGACAGCTTTCTCAGTTTTTTTGTACCATATAGATGCAAAACACTTTTCTGCCCTCTTTCCAAGGCAATTTTCACAGCTCAGTCTATGTGAGCAGAGCAGCTATAAAGCAGCAGCAGCAGAGTAACATCTAGACAATTAGTCAACACCCTTCAGCTGTCACCAGGATTACAAAAATTACCAGAATATATGATTATTAAACCCCAAATTTTACAATTCATGAGAAACAAACAAATAACAAGTCTTCTCCAAAACAGGACTACACGTGCACATCAGGAACATAAAAAACTGTAAATTTGTTGTGCTACCGTTTGTCCAACTACTAGCTCAAGCTCTTCGACAGATGCGTTACAAAGCTGGTGGATGCTTCCAAACTGTTGCAGTAAAAGCAGAGCTTTTGTTTTCCCAACTCCTGGAATTTGTTGCACTGTTCGAAACACTGATGGCTCTGCCAGCTGAGAACACTGTTTCCGCAGAAAGGGGTTACTGTTGTGATCCTTGCTTTGTTCACGGACCTGAAGCAAAACAAAACTGTAAGCGACACTGAGTGCCCTCTGCCGGAGCTCTGCTTTTGCTTTTTAAAATAGTTTCTTTCACCACAAGAGTTCAATGCAAACACTAGGAAGTTTTAAAAACTGGCTCCCTCCTTAAATGTACGCTCTTATTAAGGGTTTTGATGCAGATTCACAAAGTCTTACTAGGAAACCAATAGTTTAATACCAACAACCATGAATTAAAACAATTATTTTTGCCATCTTTTTGATGCCATCAGCGAACGGGTAAATGAAAAGAGAAACAACATAAGAACACAGTTTCCCCAGCCTGAGACAAAGCAAAATCTTAAGTTGGTTTTGACAGAACTTAAGTGAGGATTGCCTAATGCTAATCAGTGGCACCTCAGTGAAAGATCACATTAAAAAAATCCAGTATCATGTTCTTCAGATTCTTTAATTTGTTCCCAAATGAGCCCTCTTTGCACTGAACTATACTACCATATTACTGTTGCAGGATACTTATTCCTTACATTCAAACAACAAAATATGTTGCATTCATTTAATATTCCAGGTATTCTTTCTGAAATGAATGATGGTTGTGAGAAAACAGGTAATTCTCCTCATCTCCCATACTTCAATAAATGTTTGTCCACTAACAGAAACTTACCAGCTGAGTAATAAGTTGAGAAGCTTCTCCTTGATTTGCCACAGGAAGCAACACCATTCCAAGTTCTAGCACAACAAGCTTTTGTACTGCTAAGAAGTACTGATCACTTATTTGGGTTTTCTCTACAATTACAATTCCCCCAAGACTGCTGGCCTGTATTGAAAAAAGAAGAAACAACCTTGTTAATGACAAGCTGATGCAATGCAACAGAGAGAAAACTTGTGTCAAATATGAGCTGCCTGAAAGGAAATCAAAGGAAGAGTAGAAGTTACAGCAACAGTACTGAGGTTTAATACATTATTACACAGTTACATAGGTTTTCAGTTCTCAGGTGGAAATTATCACAAAAGTTTAGCTCCACTAGAATTTAAAAATAACACAAGTAGAATGTTTTCAGAAGCACAGAATAAATAAATACCAATTGAAAACTCCCTTTCTCTTTATGTAGTACTTACATTTCTAAACCGAACTAATCTTCGTTTGAATTCATCCCCTGCAACCAAATCTGCTTCAGAAATATATAAAATGCAAGTTCTGTTTGAAAGGTGAAAATCCACAAGTCCCAAGCCATCTTCAAAGATAAGTCTAATTTTCCCTTAAGGTGAGATTGTTAAAAGAAAAAAATAGAGTGGTTAAAAATATACTAATAATTACTTCACAGCACAACCTTCATAATCTGTCAATAATCCTAGTGACTTGACAACAAACTTCATATTACAGAATCACAGAATGGTAGGGGTTGGAAGGGACCTCGAAAGATCCTCTAGTCCAACCCCCCTGCCAGAGCAGGACCACCCAGAGTAGGTCACACAGGAACACAGAGAAGGAGACTCCACAACATCGCTGGGCAGCCTGTTCCAGTGCTCTGCCACCCTCACAGGGAAAAAGTTTTTCCTTACGTTAATGGGGAACCTCCTATGCTCCAGCTTGCACCCGTTGTCCCTTGTCCTGTCATTTGCCATCACCAACAAAAGCCCAGCTCCATCCTCCTGACACTCGCCCTTTACATATTTATAAACATTGATGAGGTCACCCCTCAGTCTTCTCTTCTCCACACTAAAGAGACCCAGCTCCTTCAGCCTTTCCTCAGAAGGGAGATGTTCCACCCCCTCAATCACCTTTGTGGCTCTGTGCTGGGCTTTTCCAACAGTTCCCGGTCCTTCTTGAACTGAGGGTCCAGAACTGGACACACTATTCCAGATGGGGTCTCACCAGGGCAGAGCAGAGGGGGAGGAGAACCTCTCTCGACCTAATGACCACACCCCTTCTAATACACCCCAGGATGCCATTGGTCTTCTTGGCCACCAGGGCACATTGCTGGCTCATGGTCATCCTGCTGCCCACCAGGACCCCCAGCTCCCTTTCCCCTATGCCACTCTCTTAACAGCTCAGTCCCCAACCTGTAC